CCTAAAAATTGACATTAATTACCGACTGCTCGTTTTATCAGCCTCTTCTGCAAAATCCACTTGTGCAAGTTTTTCTAGTGACGATAGTTCGTAGTAGCCGTAAAATAAAATATTCATAAAATGATGATCGATTTTATATAATTGTGGGCATAATTGTTTAGCGTTCTTAGTTCGCCGTCGCTGAAAGGGTTTCAGAAAAAATGCTTTACTGCGGACTGCGTTGCATTTTATGCAATTTATTTCTACATAGTTGGGTTTTTAAGAGCCAAGATTCACTAGTACGTTATCTTCGTCACTTGGAAAGTCGACCTATACAAGTCGAATAGCTTTTGCCGAAATGCTTTCCCGCGTGACAACTTTGAGTGTACACAACGAAATGGGGCATTTTCCAATAACAAATTAATATACCTAGTGTTCAAATGGAAAGCTGAGTTACAGAACGGCGCTCTTCTGAATGACAAAGTATCTGATGGGACTTGAGATGAAAACAATTCCTCCCTCATTCCGACGACACGTTCATTCTTCCTTCCATTGCGTCACACTACGCAGAGGTTCAATGTGTGATCCTATGAATGACCAAAATGTAATTATTTCACCTTAACCTGGCAGAGTCCTATCAATCGAAAGAGACCTGACGTCGCCGAAGACTAACACTAAGACTTTTTGGACTGAAGTAAGTAGGCTGCATAGAGGTAAACATTTTCCTAGGAAATTTGTTGGGGAGGCCACCCACCTAACTTACATCTCAATGAGAAGAATCGCTGGAGGTTCCATCTTCGTCTAGACAAACAGACAGAAATGACTAGAAGCACAGGCGGTGGAAGGAGGAAAAAAGCTATGGCTGACACAGCCGCAGCTTTTTCATCCTGGCCTACATAAGGCAAGATGTTAGATACCTTGGATGTAGCTCAAAGCATTATAAAAGTCAGACTAAGCGGACACTGAATGTGTCTGATAAAAAAAAAAGCTTACCAATACTGCAAACATCTGCTCTTTGTCGAATATACGAGTTGTTTGTAGTTAGATCTTAGGTATTGCATTAAGGAGAAAGAGAAACGTCTATTTTTAACAAATTATTATATCTCAGTAATTAATATAACAGTTGAGTGAGCGGTAAATCTGAGATAAAGCTACTGTACACAAAGTATAAGAATTTTTTCAGTACCAGAATTTCTGTGCTGTGTAATTCACGATTTGTTACGAAAGTATATTATTTATTACATGATCCATTTTCTGTTTTGGCCCACTTATACCTGCTGCTGGGTTCAAAATTGTCTACAGAGCTGACATTGGATGGAAAGTTGATGAAAACCGTGAATAGACTGACCTACAGTCGTGCTACAGAGCTCTCTGATCAGGCCGATGCTAAATACGATCAAAGCAAACAAGAGCTGCGCGTCATATCAGTCGCTAACGCTAAAATTCATAGAGGAAACGTAGCATCGAGCTTTCGGAAAAGATTCGATCTTTTTTTTACTTTACCTGAAAAGGGGTTCAGGCTATCAATATAGAATCGGAACACCTCCGGCACTACGCTGAAAATCATACGCACAGTAGTTAACCGTAATGCTAAATATCCAGTCAACATTTCTAACATTGCAACAGAAATTATCAGCTATGATCTGATAAACTATTACACGCGTATGGAACCCCATTGAACACATATAACAGCTAGTCAGAGGATCCAAACCACCCCTCACGTCCGCTTATTTCGCCTAATGGAGTGTTCATTCTTCGTTTCTGCTTGCAGCACGCTTGACCTGTACCAAAATTACGGACGAACAATAGGACCAGAGTGTCCTCTTATAAACGTCGGTATCTTTACATACCTCCACGATTTCCTTGGATAGCGCGAGTACTCCATGCACAAACGAATTGTGGAAGATGTCACGAAACACGATAAGAAAAATACAAAACGATAGGTAAAGCCTTGCAGCACTATGCGGGCCTTAACAAAATCCACAAGGTACCCATGTTAATTTACTGTTACAGTCTGTGTCGGGTAACGTTGCGCTTATTTCTGCCAAAGTGTTCAAAATCAGTAATCATTAAACTGTTCGTCTTATTGGTATAGCATCTCAGATAATTTCGAAAAAGTAAGAAGTAGCATTCCGCTGATTTGGTCTTTGGGGGGCAGACAGCTAACAGAAAATGAAGTGATTTCTTGGTAATTGTCAGCACGGACGATGCCCTCACAAAGAAGTTATCTCTTTCACGCAGCCTTTTACTGCCTGTTCCCTCCTGCTGTGTCTTGGCACTGTCCAGTGGCATTCAACGTTTGATCTCCGACTATGTAGTGCAATATAGAATGGTTCTGCTGGATTGAAACGACTTCAGAAATAGCGTGCTTCGCTTTTATTACCACTTAGGGGTGTTCAGTCTGTCAAAGGAGATAGGCAACATAATTCACGTTCAGTTTACAGTAGCATTCACCACGAGATGGAAGCATAAGAGAGCGAGGCAAAGACGTTTGTGAGTCGTGACGTAAACTATGAGTAAAACTGACGTCATAAATTGCTGCTAGTATTTTATGCAGGGCTTTAGAATTGCGAACAAGTTGCATCATAAGCATATATCATACATTGTTAGCTAGTTTACGAATGTACTGGGTGTTACGACAGCATACACGTATTATAGGACCAAGTTGAGAGCAGAAAAGTTCGCAACAGGGTGTTGCGTTTATGTCATAACTTACATAGTACATTTCTGTAATATCCAAGTGTCAGGGAGTTTGTGTTGACGATGGCCATTACATGATTGTGCTGGTGCCTTCTAGCCTGGTACAGCCTAATGAAACGGCCCAATTGATTTAAGGCAAATGATCACGTAATGCATATGACTAGAAACGCAAGCCAGCTAGGCCGTCCATGAAGCCTTGCCAGAGCAAACATGGGCATGAAATTGAGCGGGGTAACATGACCATTGAACGACGTTCTTGAGCATAAGCCTATAGCGAAAGTAGCATTTCGATTGACACATGGATCAGCTGTTCAAAGACAACCTGCATCGAACCGGTAGAAGCAGGCCTAAAAGAAGCTATCTCTGTTTTTGCCTGATATGATGATTTGTGCAGTTCGACAGCCTAACATCCTGTACCAAAGCGCGCTTTCCCCTTTCTACATCAGCGACTTATCGGCTAGCGCATGTTTGATTCCATTGGATGAAGCGCCCTCTCTCGAAGCCCTTTCCTCGTCTCGAGAGGAGCACTAGCCTCTACCTTCCTTTTATGTGAGCTACGCGCTGATTATCAGTTCCACGAATTGTAACGTTATGAAAGCATTGGCTGTATGCGACGACGACGACGACGACAGCATTACTGCTGCTACGACTGCTCGTTTGTCGATCGTTTTGTTTCACCAATACCACCAGCACGACGAGCGGCAGCTGCGGCGGGCGTCTCACCACTGCCTTCAATACGCCGCTGTTGAACGTCTGACTACTTGAGGCGGCGGATTCGTAGAAGTCGACTAGTCACTCGTGCTCGCTTCTTGTCCTCTGTTGCCGCTATTGTTATTATAGTGATAGTTTTTGTGTTGAAGCATCGAGGAGGTACGTACAATTTGGAATTAATACAACGAGCCAAACTTCAGTGAGTGCACAAGCGATTTTCGCCAGTTTAAGCTTCACAGCCGTGTGTGACAGAGGCATGTTGAATCTAATTCACTACGACAGTGACACATAAGGAATGCTAGAATACGGCATGCCAAAAGAAGGAACGTAAACAAACGGGTCTTGGAACAAACGCTGTTTTTTGCATCAGTGCAACGTGCTTAGGTTGCTCAATCACAGGCAGAAGCCCACTGTGCTGTCGCGTATAGAGTTTTCAATGATTTATTTGTGCGTCAGTTTTAAGCAACGCTTGCTTAACGTGACAGATGTCAATAGATGATGATACGCTCCTAGTGTCAGGTGTAAACATACCTTTGTGTGTACTTTGGCACAATGCTCCTTGATTACATTTTAACTTGAGTAAATATAATGTGTCCCAATCTAGTCTTTTACTGCTATACACGTCCAGCAGGCAAATTTAATGCGCGATGCATGCTATTTGACGGATTGTGTTTTTCACTAAGCAGACAGAAATTATTAGCACAACTCTTGGTTCGCGTTACTGGGTGTTGGGTCAGGTAACGATACCGAAATCAGCGTAAACTCCTATATGCTTGTTTGACAGGGCTGAAGTTGATACACGACTCTTGAAGGTCCACGCATCTTTCTATAGCGGTTAATGGGTTTGATTTGGTTGCCGGTAGCCAGCTAACTAAGTTGCGTATTTCCCAGCCTCTCCTACATCGGTTCCACGGAACCGTAGGAAGTTAGATGCGTAGGGATTTTGCCGGTTGATCACTCGACCTATACGGTGATATAGATTCGCATATCTCAGCGGGAGGCTGTTGGTAGACTTAGTCAGAGAAATTTTCGCTTATGGGTATCTTTAGCCTAAATCGCTTCGTCTATGCTCCTTTCATTCTAGTCATTAATCGTTTGCGAGTCTCTTCTCCTAGCCCTTCATCTATAGTTTCGCGCATCCGCACAATGCCAGTTCTGCAAAAGATCCGATAGACCTCAAATTTGAATCATCTGCTTTTTATTTCTTATGGCTTAAGAATCATTCTGGCAGATCGTCTTTAGCTATCCAACACACGGTAGTTTTCGCGAGCAGGTTCTATATGAAATTGGTTAGTATAGTTTAAGATCTGTTGAGTTCTCTGCCGGTGCTGGGCACTAGTGTCCCGTCTTACTTTATGGTCTTACATAGCTGAATCTATCGGGGGAGTGTTCGCGAAAGGTTCAGATGATGGCTGAGCTTATCGAACGAGAGCGTGAGACTCGAGCAACTCGGCTGCCTGGTTCGTCAACCCCTCATTTGGCGGAAGACCAAGCAGCTAGAGCTCCTTGAGCGATAGACCGGTCGAGTTACCGCCCTCTCAACGAACCCCTACGGACCTGTCTACCCCCCCCCCCCCCCCCACGCTCATGATTTTTTCTCAAAAGTGACATCTGACAACAGGGGTCTGTATGCAAGCAACATCGGAGCGCCAGCGAGTAGGCAAAGAATCCTCTCGGTTTCGACCGCATGTGTAGTATAGATTTTATTAGCACATGTAGTTGGCCGCGTGTGTTCAGTATCAATCTCAAATCTCTATTTTCGGAGTAAATTGGTTCGTTAATGTGAATTATACAGTGAACGTTTTCGTCAGTCGTTTGTGACTTCGCTGTTTACCGAATACTCTACCAAAAATATACCGTCACTTCAAGGATGTGGAATTCTGTATGTGAAATAACCACGATGACAACAATAATGGCGTTTGTACCTCACACTCGATTCTTGACCTTTAGCTGCTGCTTTAACTATGTTATTTAACTTATTATTCGCGTATTATTGTGTAAACACGTGGATACAAATGGACGATTTGCCTTCATAGCCTAAAGGCCACCATAATTCTAACCTTAATAGTGTTTAGAGACTTGTTACAAATCCTAGAATTGGCGTCGCAAATGATCCTATTTTACCTAACGTGCTCTCTTTGGAAAACTGTTTCTTTCTAGAGGAGTTCTTGAGACTGTGCTAATTGGCGATGGCTTTTGTACATACATACATATATTTTTGCTAATCTAATAACTCTGGTAAGAAGATTTCTAGTGCTTTTGATCTAGTCTGCATTATAATAGCACTAAGAATTCCTACCTGATTATACGGGAGTTTGTTTTTGTTATGAAGTAATGTAGAACGATAACAGTAAGGCCGCAGCTACTGCTAATTAAAGAAGGTTTAGTTCCATACGTAACAGAATCAGTTCTTTGCTGAGACGGTTTGCGTCGTTGTGGTCACCTCTTAGCGTACTTGCTTCCGCATGGGACCGGAAATCTACTAGGAGATGGCGCTGTCTTTCAACAATTTCGAGATTCTCCAATCCAGAAGTGTACATTGACACCCCTTGAAAACGTTATGACTTCATCGCAATTATCGAATAACCACGTGGCACCGCAAATAGAGATCAGTTTTCAACGAGTGCACTAGAAGCGACCAATCACACAATTGTTGAGCTGTTATATACGTGTTGATTTTGTGTGATATTCGACAATTTTTACTGTGTTTTGAATAAGCTTCTAGGTATATGTTATACATTTCTACACCAGTGCATAATTTCGTTTATCTCTTGCCTGTAATATGTAATATTTTGTAATGAATTAGACGACAGGAACGTTTGTTTCATTTGTAATTAATTAGGTAGCTGATTATGTTAACCCGTTAGAAGAATTCTGATCAAGAGGGCAGGCACTGAAGATGATAAAAGGCTAGATTCTTAAATAGATGGAATATATCTATTCTATACAAAGAGATAAGGAGAACAGCCTTACCGGTAAAATGTACGAACCTTCCTAATCTGATCGGGGGCTAATAATCCGACGGGGTGCGATTACCGATTAGGCGATGGCGAAGCTAGATTCTTAAGTACGATGAACGTTTTACCATGTATCCAATAGACTTGGGAAAAAAATCAAAATATTTCATACGCTCCATTTATTAGCCTAGAGTTTTCGTTAGCGAATCCGCATTACATGTATATGCGTGTTTTACATAGAATTTATCTAACATTATAACATCGCATCGCGAGTGAGTTAGTTATTCACGTGTTTCGTCAGCAGTAAAAAATAACAGTATAAAATATTATATATTGCTTATGTTTAAAATACGCTTTTGTCATAACAGAATCATATGTCTAGCTATATTGTTAGCGAGCTGTCGATACGTACTATTACCATTTTTCCCAACAAAAAGACATATTTTAGGTGTTTCCGTTGTGGACTTCTGTGAACCTTGTCAAGTCCGATGTAAGTTGTTAAAGCAACCTCCTCGGGTCTGCTTGAACGCTGGGTGGTGAATATCACGTCTCTTCGTTTACGCGACGAGCTAAAGTTTGACAAGCGTTGCTAGTAACCGATTACAAGTGTTGGATGTGGTAATAATAATTGTTAGAAGAAACAACTAACCCCTGTACCTGTGTTTTGACTTGCATTGAAATTGGTGTCGCTTTCGAATCAAACAGGACGGAGCAATGTCTACTTCGGATAGTATGCAGCGCCTTCCGGAGGCCCAACAGCAAGATATGCAGAATTTATACGGACATCACATGCCCATAGAGGTGCGACAGGCACTTAGTGAATGGATTGGTAAACATGACTGGTTGCGTCTTAATCCCGATAGCAGCCCGGATCTGGCTAACTACATGTTGGCACTTACAGAGCAATTCTTCAGCGAGCTCGAGGTATGTTTCTCATGAGGAAATATTACATATCGCCTCTCTTCTTTTAACAGGGCGTAAGTTCTCGTAAGTGTTCTAAGTAATTATATTTTCTCCAAATCTTCTTCTTATTTAAATCATTCGGTTGGCTCGCTACTAAACCAGCTCACTCTTTCAGAACATATTCAGCCAATTGAAGAAAAAATTTGCGGGCCAGTTTTCCATCACCTTACTACACATTAGCAAATAGTTTATTCATTTGTCTAGTACGATACTACGATGAATAAAATCGATGCATATTATCCTGCTGTGACATGGTAAATATCCCTATGCTCATGACTATCTTTTATCTTAAAATGCACAGAGTAAGGCAGGCGTCCTTGGACAATTTGTAAAAGGTCTCTTCGAATGTATCTGCTTAACTACGAGAAGACTTCGCCCTGCATATAGTATATTGGACAGGCTTCACAGTACAAGGCCGATTCCTTATAATACTTTTCTTCTTCCTTGTAACAATATTCCTTATAGACCCAATTATGATAAATACATGTAATTGCATTCGACGCCTACAATTAAAGCCTTAATCAAAAACACAGTCGTATTGGTATATACAAAAGCTCCATAGCCGCTGTTAGTAGCTGTGTACATCTATTTGTTAACAAGGAAGACTTTATTCATTTTGGGTTGATTTATTTTTCTTGTTCCTACTGACTTTGCGTTGCTCACAAGGAGTTCCAGGGCCGGACAGGGAGCCACCTGTTTCGTGAAGCCCGCCGATCGTTGAGACTTAGTGATTTAAAGTGGGCATCATGTAGCAGAATCAAAACACGCATGGCTGTATGCATGGTATCGAGTTTGTCTCCACTTTCTTGGACGAACGATCTTACACCGTCGTACAAATCTTATCCATGTAGTTTTAATAATTCAAAATAGGATAATGTATCTTAAGTGCTTGTTTGAGACGCTGGTAATACTAAAGTTGGCCGCGTTCATGTTCGAGCGGGCTTCTATGACAAAATATTGCGCTTTTTCAACGAGCTCAAAACTGATTTTTGAAACAGGTATTAGCTAACAGGTGTAGCTCGTGTAGTGATCATGCTTCCCAGTCGCCAGCAGTATCAGCATAGAGAAACAGCTAACTTATACAGGCAAGACCATATTATTTTGCATTTACATCGCCTACGTCGAGTTGGTTCAGTTAGGGGCGCATGAAATTGTCATACTTAATGCTACCACCGAGTTACCGCTTTTCTCAGGAAAAAGCTCGCGACTGCAATTATTTTAAGCACTTGTTTAATTCAAATTATTAAGTTCAAGTTAGTAAATTTCAAATAAAAAGGATTTGCATTGTGTCGTAAAAGGGCTGCATCTATTTGGCGTCTATTTGTAGTACGTGAAACAAGTGCAGCTTATGCCAGCAGACGTCTTCAATTAACTAAAATTTATAAATAGTGATAGGAATATTACTAACATTCTAGATCATTTAATTGGACCTTACTATAACAAAGCGTACTTATATATAAGAACACATTAATTTTTTTTTTTTTTTAATATATATAATAACACAAAATTTTTTAATTGAGACACTACAAAAAATGATTATTAGATGGCGTGCCGCCATGCGAAACCAGTGTGTCGTCGAAATCTGTATGGTTTAAACCGGTAAGATGAATGGGCGTCAGAGATCCATGACAGGAAAGAGTTTTCTACACCGTTAAGACCTCTACTTGAATTTTCCTTTACTGGCACTATTAATCCTTAACAACAGAGTGAACTGGTTAGGTTGAGTTAGAATGGGAGATCTCATTATGTATGAGAGGAGTTGCTGGAATCGGATTTTGCGTTCTGATAGTCATCAATTTCGATTGTGACTGGCGATATTGTAGAAGAGTGATGAGGAATGCAGTACACTTATATATTAGATTTCCTAACTATAATTGCACTAATTCTTTGCTCTGTCTTTGACAATGCAAAATTACGAATTTAGTTTAGAATATTATTATTATTATCGATTATCATTATCATCATGATAATTTTACTTTCTAATAACGGTTGGAAACGTGTTTGAGGTTTCGTACCATTAGTAAGCGTTCGAAAGATTGCAAAAGGTCATTGGAATCGTAATTGAGGTCGAACTATCGAAAGTATAATTTGAGCATAAAAAATAGAAAATACAATTTTGCGTTTTCTAACGTCGCGTTTAACGATTTCCGTTAATGTATGTAAGTAAGTGAATTGCCATATCATTATTATCAATAGTAGGAGCTTCTATTAAAACAGAATAAAAATGGTGTAGTTCACAAAACAGTGCGACATTATTGTACTGTCTTCACTGTTCACTGCTCATTTATTCATTCACTAACGCATTTTTGTCCGTTTTGCTTATAGGATAGAGCAAACAAGACTGCAGACTTTGGGACCCGCGTCAAATTAGTGGATACTCACCGCTTTCTCAAACAACATTACAACATCGACCCATTGTACCCTATACGCGCACTGCGTACATGTATTCTTGGTGAGCAGAAAATTATCGCTCAGTATGAGCCTCCTCCTTCAGGCGGACAGCAGCAGGGTTTGTCACATATGGCAGGCAACGCAGACCCTTCGCTTACTATTCGTCGCGATCTCGACGAGTGTCAACGAAACGTACAAGCCATGGACGACAAAATCAGGGTGAAACATCAAGAAGTAGAGACTTTTGTCATCCGGTATCAGGAACTACAGAAGCGCAGCGCTCTCGTACAGCAAATGCAAGCGACAGGCCAGACAACAGATTTACATTGTGCCCAACAAGAAGTGGCACAATTTGAGGCAATGATAAAGAGCAATGCGAGAGAGTTACAGCAGGCGTGGTTGGACTCTATTGATAGATTAAAAGGTAGGTACCGTTAATTGATTTTGTATATGCAACAAAGGTAGCACAAAATGATTGTTCAGGGTGACAAAAAAACAATATAATGCTCTTGTGACAAACGATGAAAGGTAAAATAGCAGGTGGAAAAAAAAAGGAGCTACCACGTGGCAAGAGCAAATATTAATGAAAAGAGGAGTCAACGATACAAATAAGACTGTTTATCTGTTGTTTTCAGGGAGTGTCCAATGCTTGACAACCCTTGAGCACCAGATTGTTGACATTGAGCTTGGCAATTGGCAGCGAGCTCAACAACGGGCAGGAAATGGAGAGCCATTCCAAAATAGATTAGATCAGATCCAAGAGTGGTGCGAAATTCTCGCTGAGCTCATTTGGAAGCACTTGCAGCAGGTGCAAAGGTTTGAAGTTTTGATAAATACAATGGAGAAGATTACGGTGAGCCCGTCGGGGCCAGCCCTGTGTGACAGTCTCACGCAGCTTTTTGGCCGGATAAAGCTTCTTCTCTCTGCGCTCGTGTGTGGAACGTTCGTGATTGAGAAACAGCCGCCACAGGTAATGAAGACCAACACGCGTTTTTCGGCCACCGTCCGGCTGCTCGTAGGCGGTAAACTTAATGTGCACATGTCGCCGCCACAAGTCAAGGTTTCGATCATCAGCGAAGCGCAGGCCGTTGTGTTTGCTCGCAATGAAGCTTATCCCTCAAATGAAGTCTCTGGGGAAATCCTAAATAATATCGGAGCGATGGAATATCATCAGGCTACCAACCAGCTTTCGGTATCGTTTCGAAACATGTCACTCAAGAAGATCAAACGAGCAGAAAAGAAAGGAACTGAGAGTGTTATGGATGAAAAATTTTGTTTGCTATTTCAGTCAATCGTCAAAGTGCCTGAAATGACGTTTGCTGTACAGGCACAATCGTTGCCAGTTGTTGTGATCGTTCACGGAAACCAGGAACCCCATGCGTGGGCGACCGTTACATGGGACAATGCGTTCTCTAAACCGCAACGTCTACCATTTGTTGTTCCTGAATGCGTTTCCTGGAGGGATATGGCGCACGTCTTATCGACAAAGTTTCACTCGGCTACTGGTAGAGGTCTTTCTGAAAGTAACTTACACTTTCTGGCGACAAAGGCTTTCCGCAATCCAACTTTAAACCGCGATACTCAGGACATGATGCTTAGCTGGGGGCAGTTCTGCAAAGATCAGCTCCCTGAACGCACGTTCACGTTCTGGGAATGGTTCTATGCTATCATGAAGGTGACAAGAGAGCATTTGCGCCTCCTTTGGAATGATGGAGTTGTAATGGGCTTCGTTAGCCGACGTGAAGCTGAAGAAATGCTTCTAACTAAACATAATGGTACATTCCTTCTACGCTTCTCCGACTCAGAATTAGGCGGCATCTCGATAGCGTGGGTAGCCGAAACTGAAGCAGGCGGAAAAAACATTTTGATGGTGCAACCTTTTACGGCTAGAGATCTAAATATCAGCAGTCTGGCAGATCGAGTCTCTGATCTACATGTAAGTCGGTGATTCGATTAGAGAAATAGTCTATTCATAAAAATTATTCTACATTAATCGTAAAATATCATTCTATTGTGATTGCAATGCAATACTAATGATAATGCTTGCTATAGGTATATTTATAAAATACCGCACGAAAATCTCAGCACATAATTTATCTGCATAAAAATGAGCGAAACACTTTATCAAAAATGCTTATAAACACCCGGCTGTCAAACGGATATCCATGCGTTGTTAGCTTTTTCAAAAAATAGAATCGTGCCGATCATAACATCATTTTAGCCCCAGGTTCTTAATAAGTACGGGTGAATAGTTCGGTACTAGGCAAAGCGTGCTGCCACTCAATGCAGGCAGTGTAGTGCTGTTGCTGTGCCTTGTGGCAATTGGTCTTTTGACGACTGAAAGTTGTCGTATCTGGTTGGCTGTTCAACGGGGCGGTTTCGTTGTTAAGTGGCCCCTTTTACAACGAAAAAATAAGCTGTATTTTCAAGAAATGGGAAAATCAATTATTTGAAATGACTAGCCAAGTTGAAAGTACCGCAGCTTCTCAATCAGTGTAGATATCGCATGGAATAAAAATAATATATCGCTTAAATCTTTTAATTTAGATTCAGAGAAGGAAGTCATTCAGACAGAATGGAGCTGAATAAACCAGGTCTGAATTTATATCGTCTAACTATGGGAAACATAACGAACATGATAACTGAGATTAGTACGAATTGCTATTTACGATTTAGAAGGTTTTAGATACTTGCGCGGTGTAAAAAGCATTCCTTTCTTAATAGGGAGAAGCTCTTTTGGTGTAAAATTTTGCGATTCGTTTTGAGCTTGTAAAGACATTTTTAAGTCTTTAAGCTCCGCCTCGTCCAAGATTTTTCACACGCATCGCTTCACAGTAATCAGTGACTAATTTGTTTCTGAAAACCTCTAAAGAATTAAAGTTTATTGTTAATCCTTAACACAAATATATAGTAACTAACATTTAATGTCAATATTAAATAAATTTTCCCATAGAAAATGTTCACTGTTACAACCTAAGGGTGAGTAAGGTTCTGCAATATCGTTATATTCTCTATTAACAATGAATGAAATATGTTTACATCGCAATGCAGATCAATCTGTTTATTCTAGTAAATTGGTGCTGAATTCGAACGTCAATCACGTTGGTAAATGAACCGTAAAAATCAAATTTTTTTTTAAAAAATATTACGATCCTAACGCGTTTTGTACTTTTGCGACTGTGTTGCATAGAATATACTGTATCTGTACCCGGAAATTCCGAAAGAAACGGCCTTTGGTAGATATTACTCGCCGGCTGTAGCGACGCCACATACGAAAAATGACAATGGTTATATCCCGCCAAGGCTAGTCACGCAGATCCCGCTGCCATTCCAGCAGCATTCGTCGTTAGATTCAAATCCACCTACTCCTCAATCTTTTTACGGTCACTCCGAGCCTCAGAACGTATACGCTGGAGGATCACACGATAATGGATACGGAGATCCTAATTCAATGTAAGTACAAGATACCAGTCCTTAAGTTGACTCAGTGATTTTATCTAACCTTTCATTTATTATAGTCATGAAGATATTTCAAAATAGAAGCCGCATAGAAAAAAAATTATTATGTGACAGAGCTAGCAAAACTATTCCAACGCTCAAAAGTACAAAGAGCTACAATATAAAGAACCAAAGAAGCAACGCAGGTACGATTGACAAGTCCATGACGTTTTACAAATTTTATGAAATACTGATCTGATTATTTAAATAAACGTCACAATGGCAAATTGTTATTTTTGCATGTTAGAATTCATAAGCAAAATAATTTATATTCTATTTAAGTGGGTCGAATGTGAACTGCAAATGAGGTACATAGGAATGAATATACAATAAACTTTTTATGGCTCATAGTATATTTCATTATTGTAAAAATGTCACGACTTTATATTACTTACAATAGTTTTTTTTTTTTTGAACGTTAATATCTTTTTGTTTCAAATTTTTTAGTTGTATTGTAGCAGACAATATAACCTGATAAAATAAATACACACTTCTTCCAGTAGATTGATTATGCTATTCAAAGGGCGAATAATTAATAATTCACTTATGGATACATATATAAATAGACCATTTTAACCTGAAGAAGTTATTTAATAATAATTCACAAGTTTTGTGTTTCATTTTTTTTCTTCTTTTCGCTCATACAGGCTTTACGCTCTTTCCAATGTTCAAAATTCCGGCCAGTCATTGAAACGACTTCGAGACGATGATTATCGCGATATCTAAGATGAAACATCTGGAAGAAATAAAGTCCAGGCCGCCATTGAAGTTCAGGCCGCCTTTTACAGCCCGATAAGCTCAATAGCGAAGTCCACATTGCCTTCAAGCTTTGAGCTCAACGAAAAGCAAGCAATGCTAATATTGATAACATAATTACAGAAACATAGACGCAGCCATGAGAAAAGCAACAACAGCCAAGAGTACAACCGAAACATTAGCGTCAGAACAGTTATATAATTAGAGTACAAAGACATAAAGGTGTAGTGTGGAAAAAGCACTGCCGTTTATAGACAAATGCAAGCAAAACAGGATCAAGTTCTGATCCAATTGTTTTCCGGGTAGGCCCCGATTCAAACGATCATTAGAGGTCAGCCTCAACCAAGGTCACAGTACTACAAAAAAGATTTCCTTAGCTGCTAGAACAATTATAATCGTGCGTTCTGTTGACATTTTGTAATTAATCGATAAAAGCAGCTTTAGCAATGCTAAGCAACGTTAACGTTTTTGCAGTATTGCTACACATGATGGCAGAAATGTACTGAAACAGGGTGAAGCTGTAGTTATGAAAATCGGTTTCGTGTCATGCTAAAAACAACACTCCCTTATACGGGTAGCGCAAATCGACAAGCAACAGCTTTACTTAACAGGTTCTAAATAATGGCTCACCCTTTCAACAGAGTGATTTATTCTTGAATAGTTCGAATCATCTATTTTTGTATATATATACTTTGTGTACATAAAGACTGTGCTATTATAGGTCAATAATAAAAACTTGTGTATTAGCACATCTATATTGAATAACATTTTCACACACTCACTTTACTTAGGGCCGTAACTTTTAAATGGCGTGCAATTCACCCCAATAATGTCAAAATAATTATTTTATCATACGTGTGCCAAGCGAGCATAATGTTATTATTACTATTCTGCGACACATCACTTGTGCGAAACAATCTTGTACATAACCATCGACTGAGTAAGCAGTTTATAAACTCTGAAGTTGACAATGGTCACGAGGATGAACGATGATAATATCGGAGCCTACGCTCCCCAGTGTTTGCCTATTTGCGTATCGATTTAACAATGTCATATGTACCTGTGCTATCGCGGAACAGGGCCGATAAAAGCTAACGATTAAATGATTTTTTAAAGTCTTTTTGAAGACAAGCTCCTAAAGGGCCTTCCGTTAGATGTATGTGTGTATGTGTATGTGTAAGTGTGTGTGTGTGTGTCTGTGTCTGTGTGTGTGTGTGTTCGTCCACAGTAATTTAATCGCGTATGATTCATTTGTTTGCTATATAACTAGGTAGAAAAGTTTATCAATTGGCTAAAAGACAGCTAAGCTGCGAGTTATAAACAAAATAATACTTCATACTAAATAATATTTTAGAAACAGGGATGCATTTGGCATATAAAGGTTTTCTCTAATGACTTTTAATTACATTTTGGCTGAGAATAAAAAATAATTCTGTTATAATATACGCATTATGTGTAAACGATCATCTAAAGCATATAAAGAAATCATTTCTGCCGCACACCCCTAAAAAAGAGAGAACTATTTTACAGAGGCTCGCGCTAAACTGCCGCCAGCGTCAACAGAAAATGGTGGCAGACATTTGTTATCTACCTTTCGAAAACACACGCTCAGCCACTTGAGAGGACAAATGTATGCATCTCATAGTTTCTTAAGAAGGAATTTTCGACATTCAATAAAAAAGAGTTTAATAAGATTGCGTCTTTTCTGCATGAGTAGCTCGTGTGCATAAGTAAGTCTATGCAGAAGCTCATGTCGGAGTTCATCACAAATTAGTAGACACTGTAGCAATTGTTTAGATTCAATTACATGAAAAATATAAAATCAAGATAAAAAAAACAGGCCACAAAACATGCGTCTGTTAATTCAGACTTCCGTACCGGCAAGAACTTCTTACTAAATCGACTAAGATATAATAAACAAAACAATATCGTTAAATGAAATCAGATTTAAAAAACTTCCTAGAAAAACTTAGTAGAACCTAGAGTCAATTTGGCGATCCTCGAAAACTGAAGCAGTGTTTGCTTTTATTTCTTAAATCTTCGAAACCGTTTGGGTTGCAAACATTTCTTCTTGATCTTTTTCATATTACTAAGGTGTCAAAATTGAAGTAAATACTAACGCGCGTTACAGATAGCTTCTTCTCTGCATATGGAATAGTATTAGTCAATCTTAGCAAGTCTTAACCACTCGAAAAATGTTTGCTTTTGAAGTTTTATTTTTCTTTTTATTGGTTCGCCTCTGTCTTGCAAACGACGGTAAAGCCAATCTCTGGTTGATAACTCCATCTTTGCTCACCTCAATGTCCTTTGTTCTGTTTTCACTGGATCTAGAAATGACTGGGGACCTCAAATTTTCTGAAATCCTTAGAGTTGAAATTCTACACATTCCTCCAATTTGTGTATAATATTATAAATTGATTCAATTCACCCTCATTCGGTGGCCTTCAATGTTGAGCACAATTAAGACTATGCATTCGGCATCTCCTTGGTAACAAGAACTGCGTGATTGTTTGTGACAATATTCGGGCTGTGTCTCACACTAATCACAAATAGGGCAGTTCAACATATAACAATCAACTTGTCGCAAAACCTCAAAAAATTGAAATAATGCTTTCATCAATGATGTTCACGATTCACTCACAAGGTCTACTAATGCAGACGATTCGTTTTTGGTTTAAGAATGTGATTGTTTCAAGAAGGAATTTCCCCAGTGCATATTGGCAGAGTCGTTGATGATAGACCCACTTTGCTATGTCGACTGAATATTTTCAAAAAACTTCAAGGTTAAACTGAAAGAATGATATAGTCTAATTTAAAAAAAAAAAAACAAAAACATTTCGATTGTCATAATTATTTCATTTCGGGCATAAGGTAATTAATATATGAAAGTTTTCGCGATGGTACAGTGGTAACGCGCTCGCCATTTGATCTTAGGAAGGAGTGGTGGTCACTATCGGGCGTAGATACATTTTGTCCTGTGCTGAAAGTGAGCCGTCTGAAGCAGTACTTAATCGCAGAATCGGACGTAAAGCTAGAAATATCTATAGGTAATCTCCAAGAAGTTCATGTCGATTTACGAATAATGATACACATAAAATAGATTGTATTTCACCTCACTTCTAATCGATATATCTTGAAAATGATCTCCTGTCTGGCTGCTTCAGCCCCGATTCCGCTTTTCCCCTAACTGGCTGCTTTCATCAAACGTGGCATTATTTATATTCTAAAACGTTTGGTAATTTTTGTTCTGGCTTTGTATTTCGCGTTTCGGTTAGGGCTTCGGTGGGTTCCGAGAAACCCACGTCATTTTATTTTACTTTATCGTATTCATTTGAATCCGCTTGTTTTCGGCACAGTTCTTCATACTTTGAACTAGGGAAGTGCGTATTCTAAAAGTACTGAGAACGATTAGTGAAGCATATTGTTCTCGAAGGACCTTTCTTGCTGATTGTTTCAAGCGTTACCAACATATAGTGGCATACATGGCAACATACGACATGAACGAGCCAATGTCCATCCTGTCTTGTGGAATCAGTGGCTCAAGTTTTAAAAGTTGTCGTGTTCTTCTTTGGCTACTTAGTCGAAAACCAGAGTTTGGTAAATGTTAGAGGACGAACCACACGTATTGCAGCAACCAGACGGAATAAGCCGGTTTCGCAGAACAATTGTAAATTGTATTTTCACGAAACAGGCTATAACTTTTTTCTTTTTATCTTAAAAATTCAAGAGGACAAACGATATCAATAATGATACTTTTCCTGATTACAGTTTATTACAAAAGCATTTCGGAGCTTGACGCGAGCAATATGGCTGGAGGCTGGCCGGCTTCAAGAATCTCATGAATTGGATAATAGCGAACTACACTTATCACGGTCACATATGAACTAAATATGAAGAAGGTAGTAATCCGCCGTCTAAACTCTAAAGAATGCACCGGTAGCAGACGATTGAAAACAATGAGTTCCGCTTGAAGAGCATTAAAAGATTTACAAATGGACAAAGCACTGTCATCTATAATTTGTCGTGAGGGGTTTGTGCTGTTTTTGTACTTACTTTTGCCTTAATGTCCACAACGGCTAAACTGCGTACTGTATATGTACGTAAGTAAAATAGTGTCATAGGTCTGTTTACTAGATTTAGACGCAGCGTACCTTGCTCAAGCGACAACAAGTTAAAAAATTGTGTCAGGTATCCGATATATCATATATGATTCGTAAATCTACGACAATGAACCTTCTATAAGAAGTTGCTAACGTAACGACGACGTCACTCAAAAGCTGCTGTGTTTCGTTCTTTTCAAATTCAGTATCGTAAGTATTTAATGGTATTATCAAATGAATGATTTCATGGATATTTTACTTTACGAGATTTAATTTTCGTTCAACCCTGATTTATTATGTTTAGCGGCATCTGAATGGCATGTTATCGAGAATATAACTATTAAATTTGTGCAGACCTTCTCAATGGCATGTCTAAACAAAGGCATATCTCTGGCTGGTTACATGAAAAAATGAACGAGTTTTTAACGAGAGATCGCTCTGAACAAAGTCAGGTGGGCCAAAATCAGCTCAAAACAGATCCTTAATATCATCACAATTGATGCAAAATTCAATTGTGATGATATTAAGGATCATTAATTAATATAACCATATTTCTACGGCAGCAATTTCAAAGTCGTTTCGGTACCGCTCAATAAAGAGAAATATCTATAACCGGAAGGAGAAACCTATATGTACGTAGTAGATATTTCCACGCATAAAGCCTATTCTCTCCAAAAAAAAAACATCTAAAGGTCATAATTATGGGTATAGTTTGAGATGTGTTATCAAGTGTTCATAATCTTAGGGCTGTTGTATTTTCAGCATCCAAAGTAGTTAGCATTTGTGCGCGAGATAACATATCTTACTTTATGTACTCAGTAATAAAACATATACGTAAATTATTCTTAGTAAAGTAAGTGAAATTTCAATTTTTGGCTGCCTCTGAGTTTATAGCACTAGTTGACTAATTGTCAGTTATCAACTCTCAGCGGCTAGTTATGGCTGCAATTTTTCTAAGCTATTATGCAATGTGTTACGCTACTGAAAACCTATTGGAACAGTTGAAATTGTTAAAAGCGTTCAATGCCATAAACATTCTCATGCGTTCACGCGAAAGTTCAAAAGTGGCATATAAAATAAAATATTATTTGATTTATTTAATTGAATAAATTTAAATTTTAGGGCAAGTTCTGCATCCCTTTGTTTCGTTTGCTGTCTCTCCTGGCCTAACTCGTTGGCCTAAATTACTGAACCATGCACGATTTACGTTTCGCGAGATTTCGCATCACCGAAAACCTGTAAGAGATTAGCAAGTAATTCAGCAAAAAATACATTTTTACCGAATTGGTTAATCCCTTAGCCAAAGAAAATGTTGTCAATATTTTTTATAACTATCGTGTTAGTAAATAAATGGAGATTTGGTGGTGAGCGAAGCCAGCGTAAGATGTTATAAATTAAAGAATGTAAATGAAAAAGTTACCTCCTTTGACCGACATAAGCACCTCTGAAGACAGGTGGCATCGACTGTCGTCGTAACCCCCGACGCGGGCTGACTACATTTGCGCTTCCTACGCCCCACACTTCTGTCGATGCACCGAATGGTTATTTGTGTTGGAAAACATATTGTAAACACTTATATTTGCCCATGTTTAAATATTCGTATTTCGTTATTGAAGTTCATCACTAATAACGATGATGAACAATGGCATGTGAAGAAGACTTAAAAGACACGAGGGATTTTAGCTTCATAATTTTACCGTGGTATTTGATAATTTTTATGTATTAGATAATCGATTAGTTGACTGCTATAAGAGTGGATTCATCATAATTTGTGATAAAATACTTATTAATATCGTTAAATGAACGATCCTACTGACCAGATATTTGTTCGAGTATGCAAGCAACATGGTCTCCGGTTCGAGCGGAACAGTTTACAAACGGTAGCTCCCAATCGCAGCTCACGAGGCTTTCAGCCAGCTCAAGCTGGATCTGTGAACAGCGCTTAAAATGAGTCCTTTCATTTTCTGCTGTCAATGCTATTATGCACAAAGCAGCTAACAAAACACTTGAATACAGCCTTGAAGCTGGTCCAGCCCTTATAACAATAACAGAGGGCTATTTTTGAGGGCATCTAAAGCTAAAAAAGCTAAGGTATCTGTACTACTTACAGTACATTTATTCGAGGGCAGATCCGACTTGTTACCAACGACTAAAATAAAAGCGTTCGGATGAACGGCGCGCACTGAGTCTCGCAGAAGTGCAATCTCGTCGAGTGATGAAGGTTGATCGAATGAGAATACCAGTACAAAGCCCTCACCTAATAACCAATAATAATAAATAATAACTTGCCATAAATAATGCCAAATGATCATCCGTCAGCTGACGCGATATATATCTCAGTAAGAGGAAGAAAACTATGATAATTACAATGTTAACGCATAGACTGGTTAAAAGGTCATATTACTGTGAAAATTTCTAAAACGTAATTTAAACGGAATATACATATCAACCTCTCAAAGGAGCACACATACATGTTGAAAAAGATTACCTAAAGATTACCGCATACCAATTTTGTTTGTTAGCGCGTAACGCAAACGAACTGTAAATGTATGTTTGGGGTTTTATATCCGGTGCTAGCATTGGTTACTGCTTTAGACGGCTCGCGCTTAAGAATCGCAGCTAAGAGTCCGACCCACCACGTGTCCTTAGGCGAAATGGACAAGCTCATTATTACTGCGCCACCAACAAAGAGACAAACTAAGGCGTTGGATTCTGGGCGTCATATGGTTAGATGCGTCATTCATATTTCTCCATTTACACTTCAACTAATTACAACATGAATGGCTTGCTTCGCTCTTATGGAAAATCTCCATTCGATCAAAGAGGCAATTTCCCGCCAAACGATTTTTTCAAATAGTCATTTGTATGCGAAATCTTAGCTCGCCACGTAGTTACACTTGACTACCGTCAATATCATTACGTTCCCTAGTCATGATACATCTGTAACGAAAAGTTACCTTTCTGAAGCGCCAGCTCCCTCATTGCGGGGAACTCCGGTGAACCAGATGTGTCGATAATGTCCAGATTTAGCACTAGTTCTGGAATACAATGATACAGGAAGAAGTAATGTAAAATACACAATTTAGCTCGGAAAACGCATTTTTGATTTTCAGAACACAAGATGCTTACTATGACCATCGACCATAAAGAATCGATATACATATTTATTTTGAACTTGTGCTATCACACGGCTCTTTGTGTGTTTAGCTACGCAGGTGAGAGCCATTCACAGACATGGTTGCTCCACACACAACATAAATACGGCATGTCTAGATCTATAAATATAGGAGAATACGCTTGAGTTAAATCGATAGCATAGTGTAATGTAATATGATGAAAATCGATATCCAATGAAGATACAACACGTTTTATAGTTCGTGCACCTCACTGTAGCTTTATTTTTCCTTTCGAGTCATGAAAATCGAATTGAAATAGAGGTACTTGCTCATGTCATTGATCAAATCATTAACAATACCCAGTGGTCATTTTGTAAGTTTGAGCCCTGTGGCAGAAATTCTTTCTGAACGTGTTTTCTACTACAGACAACTTTTTTCGTGTTTGTATGGGAAGCGCTGCGTTTTAGATACCAGTTCGTGTATCACCGTCATCTGAAAATAGGCGAAAGAGTGCAGAAAATTAATACTGGCATACACTTACCTATTTGTTTTAGTAAGCACAGAATTAACATGCGAAACCTCCGAAAATTTTGAGATTTTGGTGGTGCCCGTAACTTATGAACTTTGCTTCTAAAATTGTAAGGCAAGCTTTTCAAACAAATTTCCTGTTTAGATTGGGAATATTCAGCAACTTGAATGCTTATTGAATAATAGTAACTACCTTGGGATGCTTGCTTTAGTACGCAATTGAGCTGCACCTCAAACTCCACGTCTGAACGATACGACGTTTCGCGGCCGATAGAAGAACTACCAATTTTTTTTTATTAACGTAAATTTTACAGAAGTTCACAACTGTAAACGCACCCTCGGGGCAAATTTTATGATGAATTAAGACCTTCTGTGACCAGATCAGGGTGGGCTAAATGAATGAATTCCGCATGATGAATTCGTCATCCAAAAGACCGTCTATACCATCCCAACGGCAGTGCGCTTATGTATCAGTATTGTATTTAAGGGCGACTTTAATACTTGTATACGAAAAAAGATATCAAACGTACCTTGGACTCGAAGTACCTTCCTATGAGACTCTTCAAGTGTGGGTCTATAGATGGGATCAAATACATTATATAGAATGCGGCGTATCAGCGAGGTTTTTCCCACACCTGAAGGTCCCAGTAGTACTAAGCGATGAAATCGTTCTTCGTTCGATATGGGGACGGTTAAGCTGCACTTTGGTATATAGTTCATTTTCTGCGGCTCATCCATTTGTCCTTCACTTTTTTAGAAGCTCTCACAGTTCCTCACAGTTCTATCCGAATGTCTACAGTGATCCAATTTAGGCTGAAGATGGAGCTTCCATTACAAGTACAGTCTTTCTTGAAAGATTTCCAGCTCAGATCTTAAAACGAAGAAGGAGCCTCGAGATTTTATTTTTTTTCTCGATAAATAAAGCATCCTTTAATATTGCATTAATAGCTTATGTATAAAGAGGGAACTAGACATAAAGTAAGCTATAAAATATTATAGCCGAATTTATGACGATTTGTTCGTTACTTTTTTCAAGGTGTGTCAGCCATGGCAATACAGCTCAACTTTCTACAACGCTACAATAAAATAATCAGTCCCTCGTTAAGTCGATTAAAAGAAAGGACATGTAGCGCTAGTTTGACTTGTCACGCAAAACGTCTAGCCATAGTCCATTATGCAAGCATTGAGTGTTGTTCGTTCTAGAGCCTAGAGATTTTTGTGGTAAGGCGTCCCGGCGAATGCAACTCACAGCTGTCGATTCTCACGATCCGTTGGCCTGTTTAGTTGACGTTCCCAGTAGCAGCTTGGAGCTGTTTTAGCGCGTTACGCTGCCATCCATCGTCTAGCCGATCTTTCAATGGCTCAATATGTCCGTTTGCGACACCACGTCTGCTACCATCTACCTGTATCTGTAGGTACCCTAAGCGGTGACGGAAGAGGCGGTGGTAGTCGAGTGAGGATTGATCAACTTCACATGTAGGCGGATCGTTAAATTCAAACCTGTAGTAAGCTCCCGTTAGTAGGGAGCAACGTAGTCATGGTCGCCAGTGCGACTCTGGGTTGACCTGCATCATTGCATTGCCGCCAAGATGTTTCGCAAGCTTGTCCCACTCTTCGTCATACGCAACTCGATAGAAACAACTAATTTATCCTAGAAGCAACTATAGCATAAATATGCGGAGTTGAAATAATTCGATCAGACGATTATGCATCAGCCAGATTTGGGTGTATTTACATTCGGAGATACAGTCCCGCATGGCGGGAACGGGCTGACTTTGTTAACACAAGTAATTCACGCTTTCTAATTTTGTTGTCGGGGTTATTTGGACGACGAAGGACTACGAATCAGAAATCCGGTCTGTAAAATTGACGGGACCGACACGATCTGATTTAACACCCGCTCGTTATACGGGCGCCCTTTTAATCTCTTACGGAACTGTTATTATTAGCTATATTCGATGTGATAGTAAATCCTAGCCGCAATTAAAGTATCCAGCTTTAGGGCCATATCAAAGGCAAGTTTCGAGTAATGGAATTTCCTCGAACATGCCGCGTTCACAGTTTTCCCCATCGATGGCTTAAATATGACAATCGGATATGAAGAAAGGGACATCTTTCGCTAACATTCACCATCCGTACACCTTCTGCTGAATGCGTCCCATAACACTTAATCTATATAATGCAAACTTAAAATCACAGTCAAACACGTTTAATTCAGAGATATATTTACGTTTTTTTGAAATTATTTTTACTAAATTAAATGAACCGTGAATCGTTTGATTTGAACAACAAGGCTGAAAAATCTGAAATTTCTAATTGTGGCATAAAGCAGGATCTGTTGAGCAGATGCGGCTTTACCGACAACAAAAAACAAAGGCGTCTATTTAACTGCTGTTCGTAGCGTAAGGGCTACTAATTGTATATATTCTCTCGTTGCGATCGAGTCAACGAAAGTTCCTGGATACGAGCACGTTTACGTAACTAATACGACAAAAAAAAGGTATGACAAAATACAGCTTCTAGGCGTAAAAAAATGCGATACAAACTACATTTTTGAAGTCAACATGTCTTGAAGATATAGAATAACTAATAACGATTGTATCTCATACATAAATACGTCTGCTTGATAGAAGAAAAAAGTTATTAATTCTTAAAAAAGCATTTAATTTCAATGTGGATTTGCGAATTTGCTTTATGTCTAAAGGGTATCTCTATTGAACTGTTCCAGTTCAACGATTTCAGCGTTACTGTACCTATTGTACGGCTGTTCTCCTATCAGTTCCCAAAAACACAATTGATTTACTTAGGAGTACAACGTTATTCATCTATCAGGTAGCAGAATTTTTTCTCATTTATATTTTTGTAGACTTTGAATGAATTCTTAAACAAATTTATTTATATAAAATTATATTTATTCAATGTCCAAGTAAATTCTTAACAACAGGTGGTACACGTTGATATACTTCGGTTCGATTTATATGACAAAATAAACAGCTGTGATTCTGATCGATGTACACCGTTGAAAATCCTTTTCAGTGATCTTATAGACAAATTTGTGTGGAGTAATTGTGACAGGAGGACTGTGCAAAAGGCCCTCCAGTGGGTTTGGAGATACGCCTGAGGCCAATGCATACATAAGAGCATGTGAAAATATTAAACGCGTTAGTTTTCTATTGAGAAGGTAGGTCGAACTTGCCCTGTCTATTTAGGGTCATTTCATTCAGGTATATAACCATGTATATATGAGCATTTTACGCCTTTATCGTGGCTCTCGCAGGGGTTCTTTGCATTGTAATGATGATGGCAACTTCTGCGGTGTCTTTATTTACATGATGTAGAACTGCTGCTTCTTACATGTTAACGTATCAGAAAGCCGACTGGCAGAGACGCACCTACAGCCTAATCAACGCAGCGCCTTCAACACATTGCTCGCACAATTAGCTATCACACCTAAAATAAGAGATACACACTTTTACTAAACAGTAACAATACTAAGCAAAAAACGTAAATTCTGCCTACCATGTTTTATGACCCTACGTCATTACAGTGTCAATGCATCCTCTAAAAATTAAGTAATTAAGGTACTTCCATACCGGTTAAACGCTTACCCGGTGTAAACGTTACAAATCTTGCCAATGATCCCTAAAATTGCCTCGCTTTGTTCACTGGAGAATCAGAATAGGGACATTTTCTAATCACTCTATTCTAATTCTTCAGTCGTTCGGCTAGTTTTAGAAGCTATTCGAGCAGACCGCTCACGCGCTAATAACGCCCTCTACATAACAAATAAATAAAGATCAAAATGATGCGTTCGAGCAATATGGCGTTGAATTTTTGTTGTTTTTATCATAATTGCACAATCATGCTACATCATAATCATCATCGAACAACATTTTTGCAATGAGAAGTAGCCAGTATCTGCTGTGGTCATACATGGCCATTATCTAGATACAGGTAAAATTGGTCGTCCCCACATGAAACAGAAAATACTAATGGGCTTGATTGTACTATCGTCGAAACCAATTTTAATTAATGATAAGCGTTTATGCCGCAATTCAAATTTTGATAATTGGAGAGTGCTGGAAACGTTAGGTACATACTCAGAGGACATTTGTGTTAGTTTTCTTAAAATATTTTATATAACGTCCGATAGTTTGTTTCGTTATAGCAGGGCATGGTACGCTTGTACTGATCACAGCCTCGATTACGTGCTCCCCTTGAGGCCAACTGCCGATTGAGATAACGAAGGCCATCACAGTGACGAGAAGAAATGTGCTCACAAGTACCACCTGTCATCAAACACAAGGAGGAACATAGACAGCGACATATTTAAGGCGCTTTTTTGTAAGATAGTAATAAGTTGTCAGTTAAGGCCAGCATATACAACAAGCCTATCATATGTTATATTACCGGTAATTGTTACTGCTCATACAGCATACGAATAGGTTTTTATGTAAAGGTATTCCTAAACTGTTGCTTAGGATGTATACCTTGAGTAACTTTACATTATTTTCTGCTGATTTTTCGTAATAGGCAAGAGCAGTTTTTACGCTGTTACTAGGGGCAACAAATATTGGCTGTGAAGCTTTTTCATTGCGAAGTTTTGAACAACGTTTCGGTCTGTACTTTTCCAAATACGTTTACTATAGAAATAGTAAAACTATGTCTAAGCTGCCCGCATTCACATTCGGACAACTGGTAGTCTTAATTTTTCTAAGCTTTTCCCAAAAAAACGCGTATATCTATTCACATTTCAATTGTGTTAGTCATAAAGTAACTGAGAATACACTTTAACCTTAAACTATGATAGAACCTATCATTCGAGCATGCATATTTTCGAATTAATGCACGATTTTAAATTAATCTCATCGAAGCTTGTTTGTATATTACTAGTGTTTTTATTATTAGGCAATCTCACGGTAGGTTACATAGTTGTCAAACTCAGTTTTATGTACCTGGTTGTGATACCACGTTTTAATCGTTTAAGTGTTAGTCGTCTTCCCCTTAGGCAGATCTTGTAATGCTTAGAAAATTATCACTAGTCCACGAACCTTGGGGAAGATCTCGGGTGCAGTCTCAATCATTGGTCCCACGGCAAACGGTGGTACAAGTCCTCCGCAGTTCGACATGAATTTCAAAATCGACATGTGACTATGCGTGAGGCCATTAACGCGACTTACAAGAAATGACGTGCCAGCAGCGTAGACCGGTGCACAAGCCGCTCCGAGAAGCACGGCTGTCATGTGTAGGGTTCGCTCCGAACCGCTGCCTGTTACGAAAAGCATCGAGGCAGTAGTAAGGAGCGCCAAGTCCGTGAGGATCCAAAATACCTTTAAAAGTAAAAGTTCACAAATGCAAAGCAAGTAACGTGAAACACCGCGTGCAGTTTTAACATTTCAGTCAATTGTATTTGGAAACTAAGGCACTGATGTTAAAATTCGGAATGATAATTCAGATTGGGAACGACGTGCACAAAATCATCGGTTATTGTTTCTAACAAAATGCTGTCTATTATAAATTATCGTGTACGTCCATCTCGATGTAGCAATTTTACGCCGCTTATGCACTGGCAGAGGAGGGACCGTTGTTATTAACATAATTCTATAGCGTTATATTTAACGAAAGGTAAGTGCAAAACAATGCACAGCGCTTACTCTCTAATAGTCATATGAATCAGAATTGGCATAACACGGCATAGGACATGAGCAGGACATTTGTTATTGTTTGTCGCACATATATCATAGAATGACTGGAACATCTTTTACCTTCGGCTGCAACTTAGATGCTGGGTAAATGCAGATAAGTCGCGTAAATGTGAAACTAATGTAGAAAGTCGATATCAGCACTATACTGCGATCTTTCGAAATGCCCTGTAGGACTGCGTATATGGAAAAATAGCGGGAGAAGCACATTAGAATAACGAGGAAAATGAGACAGTGCACACCGACTAGAAACGACAGGAACATAGACAGCTTTCTGTTGCTTAAAGTCTCCTGATTGGCGCTTGAAAGCCCAGTAACGTCGCGCGAATCGTACTGAAAATTTCGTTTATTGACATAAAGAAAAATGGTTACTAAATTACTTTGCTAACGTCGATAGGTTTGTCACTAATGGCTTAATACCATTCACTATGATCGAGAAAATGGCTGAAACTCGTAACCTGTAAGAAATTCTTAAAATTTTATCGTTTGTTTACTTTAATTCAACCAAAAAGTCGAAACGACCGCGCTCGCCCTTCGAAATCACTTCACATTTACCAAATTATAGGAGTACCTACAAGGTGATTTTGTGTGTTTTGGAGAACACATAAGAAAAATTTTGCTACTCATTTTTTTGGCTCAGGCTTTTGGGCGACTTTCGAATTGCGATTGCAAGCTCGAGTGGCGGTTTTTTAAATTAACCAAATTTCGGCACTGTCTATACCGCAACTCCGGTACGTCTTGAGACAAATTTCCGTCCTGGCATATAGAGCGCTTACTTTTTCTTTCAGTGTCGGGTTTTACTATCAAAAATCTATCCGTATATTTTCTTTATTTGTTATCTATGCTAGCTTAATGAATAAAATCACGTATAGCTATAATTAGATAATGGTAATCGTCATGCGGTAGGTTTTCGTAAAAATTTTTAATCCGAGTACTGAATTATATTTTCCAAATACTTCTCAGCACTCTGGACAATTTGCCAAAATTCCTGAATCAATTTTAGGATCTAGCAGCTTTAGGACTTTGAAGATTAACTAAAAAGTGTACTTTTTATGTTATGACTGTATGTACTTTGGCGCTCTAACCAAGTTTTAGAATGGCTTAGATTCAAACTTTGTTTTTAGATTTTTTTGCACATACGACATATATATATATCTGTTTCAAATTTAGGTTCACGTATTAAGTAGCTAAGAACCCTACGCGCATATATGCCTTCTTCTAACTTCTGAGGTCAACCTCAAACATTGTCATTTTTCAAAAACATGTGTATAATGTATAAATTTAACCTTAGCAAGAGGATCAATAGAGGTCTCATCATCGGAGTTTGATCGGCGATGTCGAACATCACGAGGATCAATGCGATAGCTAATGGAGAGTGATACAGCCAAGGCAACTGCAAATAGCCCGACGAGAACGTAAGCCACATGAATCCGAGATTCACTAGTTGTCATAGTCATAGCTTGAGTCGTTCCTGTCAAATGACTAAATTGGAAATATGAACAAGTGTAAACTAAAAGGTAAATAAAACGAGGTTTGTCAAGTCGTAATCATGCCATTTCCGGTACTCGTTAAAATTAGGGAAATCAATATCTGTTTGTCTTTGTCACCTTATTTACCAATATATATATATATATATATATATACGCGACAAGCAGAATGGAACGAAGACGGGGTGCAACAATTAGGTCACCATCCAATAATCAATTAGCTAAGCAGCAAAGAAAAATCTGAGCATTCGTCGTTATTGGTCCTACTTGAAATGATGATGAAACAAATGGCAAAAAACAGTATTTTTTTTTTGATTAAATCGTTCACTACACAGTTCTATATGTTACCTATTAGAATTGACATGAACAAAATTGATGGGTTGCATCTCTTGTGTAGTTGAATGAATCTGCTAGGATGTAACTAGACAGACTTCACTTCTATGTAGTCGATTTCCTTATTAAATAGTAAGCCGAAATTGTTAGTAAAATGTTATTACTAACAACTGATTAGTTAGTATGTCGCGAAACGGAACTTCATCCCACACCGGTGCATGCATTTTATAATATATGTTTCAAATAGTTTAGGCCTTAGTAAGCATCTCGCGGTGTTTTGTTGCATACCTATGTGGATTCACGAAAGGTCGAACCAATACTGAGCCAAGCAGGCTACCTAGCCCAAACATGAGATGGTACGTTTGTAGCACCGCGGCACTACTTCTGCTCGTCGGGTAAAGGCCGACCAGCCAGACGTAAGTACCTGAGAACAAAGGCACATAGAGTTTAAAAAAATTACAAAAAAAAAAAACAGTTTAGACGAAATTTCCAATTATGTGAATAGCAAATCGAGCCTAACGAAGAGCTCAATATTGTCACCTGTTTTTACGACTATTCTATAACACCGAGAAATTTGAAATATGTATTGTCCAACCAAATGTAGATACTGCTTCTTAAAATGAAAAACGATAACAACCAATGCATGATATCCCTAATGTTTATACCTGGCATAAATTATATCTGATTTGTATGCTTCATTATTTAAATATAAAACATGCTATTCTGTGTTGCTGTCGCGGAATTTCGTGATTCTATTGATGGCTCCCTAACAGGAAGAGTAATATGGGAAGCGTCAATGTTCTGCTTCAAAATAACTTTATTTCACAAAGGTGCGACATTTTGTGATCTTTTCAAGATGCAGTTGTACTCTTTGGAATGTTGAGACCGTTTGCAGCCGGGTCCCAATACGCTACTGTTTCAATTGATCTACAAATATCAGCTCCATTTTAAGATTACAGAGATAGCTCGTGTGTATTCGGCAAAGGATTTACTGCAAGGTTGCTAATCTGTGATCTAATAAAAATGGATTTCTTCTTCGATAATCTCATACGGTCGCATCAGGCGGATCATCGATCTTAGTCAGCTATAATTTGTGGTGTCTGTTAGTGCAGGTGCTATCCACAACAATCTTGTTGAGTCTTGGTTCGTCGATTATGGGTATACCGTTGACGGACGAACTCTGCAATAAGCAGCCAAGAAGGGGAAAATCATTTGGACTGCGTGACAATGCTCGACACCGCACAGCAAGGATCACTGCGCTAGAAATGCAGGCGTTGCAATTAAAGGCTCCTTGTAATCCAGTATACTCATGAGGCATTGTTTCCATAGATTTATATTCTTTCGTAACTTTATATTGTAAACAAAGTATTCAAATTTCAGCATAATGTCGACATTGCCATTTAAAACTTCATAGACTCTACAGCAGCGGAAGAAAACACTCACCGTACAAATCATACGTAATAATGCCGTAGACAGAAAATAAAAGAAAAGAGCTCCAATGCTCATGAAGTGTTTGAAAAGTTGAGAGTCAATTACTTCACCTAATCATACAAAACGACCTAATCGAATAGGAATGTTCTTTGTCATAACTGGAGGATTTTTTAATATGTTATTGCCATCTAAGTGAACCGAACTCGGTGAGCAACGTATGTATTAGTGCTCTGTTTGTTTTTTGGATATTAAGCTTTTTTTCCTTTGACGGATCGCTTAGTTATACGTCAACATATTTACGGATACATGTCGGACTGCTTACGATTTATGCCACGAACGTTTGGGATGGTGTCGTCCGGATGCGCCCATGCTTGTAGGTGGCTATATACTTACGTATTCGCTATACGAATTTATATCCCTTACGTCTACTTTGGTTCTTCCCTTCATAGGAGCATACGTGGTTCACAGACTTAAGTTACTTCATGTAGATGTTTCCATCCAAAATACTTGATTTTTTTTTTTTATTATTTTGTTGTTTCGGTGATTAGTTGTCATTTCAACATCGCATAAGCCTACCGAAGTAATACTAGATACCTGAACTTGAGCTATAGTATATTTAAACATGCAGGCCAAGAGGAGTTACTGTATACGAAAGAAAGTAGGTGCTACTCTGAAAAAAAGAAGTAAGTATGGTACGAACCGATTTCGAGAAATCCGCTAGCCAATCCAAAAATAAGTGACGTAAGATGGGCACAAGGCAATGAGCCTGTTAGCGGGAGAATAGCGTTTGAAAGGCCTTTAAGAAGAACGCCAGCGATGATCACTTTTTGAGCGTGCAGAAGTTCGTACAACCAACGCGCTGTTGCCGTGAAATATAAAATAAGAAATATGAACATGAATGTACGACTGCATACACGCACACAAACGAGTCGTTAAAATCGTATCATACTGTAGAATCGTACAATGTGTAGGGGACAAGTAGCTACTACACTCTCATTGGTTTGTAGACGAACGAAGGTCTCTCTGTTCCAACGCCTTTTTAATATTTCCTCATAAGTGTTAATATGAAAACAAGCTCGAATCGATAATTACACAGAACAGCTATAGGATCTAGATTAACCAGTAGAAACTGAAGGACAGTTTTGCAGTCAAAGGTTTGATTGAAGTGCAAAGTCTTCTTATAGCATTGGAATTAATCTGTCTGCAAGAAGAAACGGCTATACGGCTGAAATCAGACAAGGAAACAGTTGCAAATAGTAACTAACGATGAGTACAACAGGCTTCGAACAGGGAAGATTCAGGCGTACATGTAAATTAGTTTGATATTCTTTTTTCTAATGTACTTATGACTAAAGTAGACTCGAACAGAGGCACACGAGAAACCTTAGGAACGTAAAGTTCTTCGTGTTGTTTATTGCTATTTCCATAATTTCACAAGTATACACAACGCTCATTTATGTCGCCTCGATCATGGACGATTTGTTTTCTGCGGATTCTGAAATTTACGATTATACGTTTATGCTGTGAAATATTCACAAAGTAGTGCCTCCCTGAGATCCTGAATAATAGGCACTTTTGAAAAAAAAGAGTCTCTTTAAGGTCCCAAATACCATTTAGAGAAAATCGACATTCAATCTACACGGCGTAATTTCCGCTATGAAAGAGTTAATAATGGGAGGCTCATAGGCCAAATAGCACACATGTATTATATTGTTTAGGAAACAGAATTTATTTCACAAAAGCAACACATACAAGAGGGAAACGATACGAGATTGTAGCTTCAACAAAGTTATTAGAAGTTAAAAGAAAATATTAAAGAAAAAAGTATTAGGAGTTACAGTGGAAGCAGAACACAGTGTCAGCACTTTGCCAAGCACCCTCTTTAGAAATGTGGGTCTGGCTCATTTTTAGTTTAAGTTAGCTTGCACACAACAGATTAACAGACATTTGGAAAAGAAACGGTAACACTAAATGCTGGCTCACTTTATAAACACGCCACTTGAGCATTGAGTGGTAAATGTTAGAAAAACTTAGTAATAATAACAATTTAGTTGTGTAGAAAAAATTAATTTGTTCACACATTTAATAGTCAGACAGGTCAAGATTTTGGGATGCTGACTAAGCTACCTTTAGTAAGGTATATGATTTTGTCGTATGTCATCATGGATGTTTGCTACAAAAATTCTCAGGGCTCATAAGCAGAATAGAAAATTACCAGCAGCGCAGCCAATCAGAGCGCCGATGGTTGTGGTCGATGCAAGATAGGATACGTGCTCAATATCAGAGTGAAACAACTCAGCCAGATCAAGCATTGACGGACCAAACACCGATAGTACCAAGCCCTGCAATCGAATTAAACCACAAATACTATTATTACAGTTATTGAACTTTTGCAATAGAGAATCACCACATAAACATGGTTCCATATGATTATGCTCACACAAAGTTTATTACTTAACTTCAAAAGATGAAAGTTACCGCAACAGTTCTTAGGAACCAAAGATGCGGTCGTAGCGGATTGTTAGCTATTTTGTCGCAAAGCTGGACACTGCAAATTCGAGTCCGCCATAAGACCGATGCACCACATATCCTAGAAAGGCTATCTCTTTGTGTTAGTTATAAGTTTAGTCAGAAAAGAAGTATTATATATCACGGTAAGGTTTATTTACATGCTCGGTTTTCAAGCCAATTTATCATTCTAACGTGCGGGAACTTCTTGAAGCTGATTTTTTTCATCCCTCAAAAATAGCAATAGGTTATTCAAACTTCTTTCCATCAATTTTTAGCAGGGAGTAGGCACAAATTTTATATAATTTTCCATAAGAAACTAACCAGAACCGTGCTTCACCGATATCTAGATAATTGTACATCGCTAGTCTAGGCAAGATGACCTCGAAATATTTACCCGGATACATGTTTATATTCACTTGCGATACTAACATATAAAATAGATTTCCTAGAAGTGATTTTGGCTAACGCGTTATAGGTCGCCAACGGACTCATCAATTAGACAACGCAACTTTGATATAATCATGGAGATTAATCTCTACTGCCATTCTGTGCTGTCTTGAAATGGACAGGATATTTGTGACTCGTACCTGCAAGATAGCCATGCAAAAGATGTTGAACGTATGAAATATCCGAACCGGTCCACGAACGTTTGTTCCTTGTGCCATTTAGCTAACCTTAAAACTAATACAGATGCTGAAACTGAGCCAACAATTCGTCAAGCCACGTTATTACGTCTGAACGTCACCAATATTTTCACTCGTAGCCATTCTAAGTTCAATAAGCACTTACGATATTCATTTTTACCCTAAATTATTTCGCTCTTAGCAGCATCATTCAAATCCCATCTTTCAGGACTCGAGTCGAAAGGCACCGCCACTTCACTCTCGAGCAACTTCTTTGGCTGCGTGTAACAGAGGACAGACCTCTGTCGGTCGTATGTGTGTGTCTGGGGCGTGTATATCTGTGTGTGTATGTGTATATAGGTGCGTGCATATCTGTGTGTGTATGTGTATATAGGTGCGTGCATATCTGTGTGTGTATGTGTTTGTGCATGCATGATTTGTGCTTCTGAGGACCCTATCACAAGAACAATAGAAACAGTTTTTGCCGCTGGCCTAAAACGTCAGCTGAAAATTTAGCAAAAACTAACTAGGAGTTATGAGGGTTAAGGTAATCAAGCGTGATCGGCAATGGATCCAAATAATCCTAATAATTTGTGTGAGTGTCTTTCGCAGCTCGAACGTAATATGATGAAGGTTTTGGACCTTTGACTTTGATTAGAGTGGGCGTCAAGCTTGTCTCTTTGCCGGGTGCCCTCTCGACGATCCTGGGTTACGTCACACCCTTTTTTTTATTAGCAGTAGAACTGGAAGCGTCGAGTCGTAGATTTGAAAAACATGATTTAAGTATGTGCTTCATGACTGCTGCAACTGATTTGTTCACTTCACTGCGAAATAATATTAATATACAATAACACATTGGGACATGACGTGGCATCGTCAAAGCTATATTTGCGCAAGAGTCCTCAAGCAAGAAAATGAACATAAGGTAAGGTTAGGCACCTTTACCGCTAGTATCGTTTACACTAGCCCCAGCATAAATCCACTTAGCAACAGTCTACACACGCATTTCTAGGGTCGCCATGATTTACCAACGGCGAACACATTATTTGAACGATACATCGTGAACTGTAGTTTACATGGGAACGATGGTACAGGCGACGTCCCAGCGCAAAATGGGTAGAATGCTTAGCCCGGATATACTTGAACGTCCGGCCCATTTCTGTCTTTCGGCTGTGAGTGACAGTTATTGATAAGTGCTGGTAGATTCATCTCGCTCTGGAACGGTAAAACATCTATTGTAGCGCTGCTCTGGTGATCCCTTCGCTGTGTTCGCCGCCCTCAATCAGCCGCCCATAGGCTGCTGCTGCGTTGCTTGTTCTGCTACGTTGCTGTTCCTGAAGTGGTAACCTGTTTGCCTATTGAGCCTAGATTCACGTGAGACGATATAGGTTTGTGAGCCTAGAAAGCGTTGAGAGATTTTTTTCCCATCAGTCGGGCTAGCTCCATGGAGCGACACTGGGAGGCTGAAAGCCTCCCCTTCTACAGTTACAGTCAGTACATTCCGCTATTACTACGACCTATTCTATCACAAGTCACATGATTTTAGCCTGCACATTATACCTGGCCAACTCTTTGCAACGTTGTCCTAAAGGATACTCCTGTGTCAAAAGTATAAGCAGCCATTTTTTTCTACCGAAAACTACATAGAGTTAGAGCTTGATAACCGGCCATAGTTTTGCAGGGTGTTCGTAGACGTAGAAAGCATTATTTCGAGCGCGTGGATCAAAACCTTGCAGATATTAATGCCTTAAATTTAGCGAACTTATTTTGACAACCCTCTGTAAAACATCGCAACAAAACTGTTTATTCTTGAAAACCTGTCGCAGAGTTCACATCACAAGTTCAAGTTAAACTTACTCGACAACCTATACATGTGGGCTTACTTAAAGTATATGTCTCGTTCTAAGTGGAACCGACGATTGATCTAAGAGTCCATTTATTCTAACTCGATATTACGTTGCAGCGACCCTAATAGCTACTAATCGAGTGACTTATCCGATACACCATTGAAGTGGCCGTTATTTCATCCTACTTCGAAACGGATAATCAGGCTTTTGTCACATGCTTTGATTGGTTTCCACGAGTCCTTTTTTCACATAACAGCTTTTTTTCCCAGACACGATTGTCCTAAGATTCGATAACAATAAGCATACTATTAGAATCATTATTTATAGCCCAGTGGGCATTGTACCTTTCATTTATACCCTGTTAACAATGGCTTCTTTCCCCATTCACCAGTGCCATTGACCCGGACATCTTGAAAATAATAACAGCCTTAATAACATAACGATGTCAAAGGATCGTTGTGGTTGTACGTTGCAACGAAGAAAGTTCACTATTAGCGTTGAGTAATTGGTCAAAATCGATAACGATCATATAACAATTGCAGAAAAAATTCAACCTATGTCTATAACGCAACGAGTATTTTGATGTCTAAAATATACGTAACCGACGAAAACCTATTACGAATAGAACGGTGCAGGTTTGTTTGTTGTAAGACTGCTTCAGTCGCTAACGAAAGGTGACAGTCGTCTAGGCCTAAGGCAACCCTGTTCGGCTCCCCTGCCAATACGGGGTTATATTTGAAACGATCTGGAAGCTGGGTCACTCGATGACGCCCTATAGCTAGCTAGTTAGCTTCTCTGTTTAACCAGGATTGCCATACTGCATAACGAAGGAAAAATCACGCTCATTCACTCTTCAAGAACGAAAATAGCTCTTGCCATATTTGATTTAGTCTTTGAACGCTCTGCTATGTAGTACTTTTTCATTCAGCAGCTTCTGCTCAGCGTGGCAGGCCACAGCATTCTCAGGTCACCGACAAATGTAGGTCAGTAGTAGCGCCTATATATACACATGTATGTGTATGTGTATTTCTTATCAATGCTGTCACTGAGCGAGAGCTATAGGGACAAACAGGTTTCTTGATTTTTTTTTATCTCGGTTTCTTTTCTCATGATGGACGGACGGGTCGGCGGCTATTACGAGAGGGGAGTCGAGAGGTTACGAAATCAAGTATGGCCAGAAAAAGATAAAGACGAAACTTCTATTTTTTGTGTCCCAGAATATTTCTTCTCGGCGTTTGTTCTGAATAGTTCCGAGCATTTGGCAGCCCATGGTCTCTGCAGCTTCAGCCTTCTGCTCTCTCTTTTCTCCGCCCTCGCCCTTTATTGGTTGTGGTGGGATAGCATAGCCTATAGCCGGCAACCGTCACAAACCCTCCCTATCTGGCGGTGGAAAGATGAAGACGACGACAATAAGTACCTCGCCAAACTTAGCAGGTTCAACTCGCGTTTTGCTGGTTGCGAAGAAACAGTTGTGTTATGTAGCCTCTCGCCCGAAACGCGATAGTCACTTCATGGCACAGCTTCACATTCTCGCAATTGATCTATATACTCGATGTAATCCTTGGTTGCCCGACCAGTCTCGTTAACCATCATCGTTAACCTCAAGGAGCAGTGCTCGGTAACTCCGCTCTGCAGACCGCTGACCCGGTTCGAACCGGGCTGAGACACGGCCTACAATTTGACCTACAATGAACACCACTACTGACATTGCTGCCTGCACCGTCTACTATTCTTGTGGGACCAGATTCCCTAATATTACGAAAGTACCTAGTGGCCATGAATAGGATGATGCAGGAGAATAACACGTAGCAAGTATGGAATTCTTCTGGTTTGTAGGTCTTGGCTGAAGTAGAATAGGCCAATACTGTGATATTTGCGCAATGCTGTAAAACCAGTATTCGGCAGGGGTCAGGCCGAAGAAATATGCCAGATACACAGCGAACAGTCAGATTCAACCAGAGGCGCTTAGAATTGTAGGATCATGGATTGTTGGTCCTGTGCTAAGCGAGCAAGTGGCCGGCTAAAAGGATGAAAAGGCTGCGCAAGAGATTCTTCATAAAAGTAAATTGTTGGATTGAACTAATGTACTACAAAAGCAGGTGACAGAGCAATTAGCAGCTGCATATCTCTAATGGATGCGGACCCATTTCGAAAAAGCTGGATATTTCAATGGCTTACATCCCCTACCTCTGTTATCCTACATGTAAACTCATATTAACACATGAACTAATATTCTTAATCTATTACCTTCAGGCTGGAATCACCCAAACTTCAAGTTGAGATTCTTTAAGTAACTTGCGGTCTTTGTTTGCAATTAACCAGACTCTTGTTTTTATAGGCACTTTCAACTTACGTTTTGCGAATATAATTGTTGCTTGAGGTTAACGATGATGGTTAACGATGATGGTTAACGAGACTGGTCGGGCAACCAAGGATTACATCGAGTATATAGATCAATTGCGGAAATTGACATTTTTAAAATAACTTTAAATCAATAGCGCTTATTTCCAATATGATCTATAAATACGATGTTAAATATTACTTCGTTGAGCCATTTGCAAGTATTTTCGATACTAAAAAGTTGAGTAATCTTTTACAGGCAGCCGCGCAGCAGGTAGTACTGGCCCAAATGGGCCTCCAACTGCCACGTTAACAGGAAGGACGAAAGGGTTCATTCGAGAACGAACCACAATGCGGAAGCGATTTCAAAAGCTTGAACTCTTTTTGAGCCTAACTTAGGCTTTGCCCGCCTCAAGGTTGAAATATGCATTTTCTTTCCTCTGTATTTTTGAGCGAAATTGTTGCTGAGAAAAATCGACCCTGAATTCAGAGGCCTCGCAATCGGAAGCCCGTTCAGAAACAAGGTCAAGCCCTAACAAACTTTAATAAGGAGTATGTGAGAGATTGAAAGAGTTAAAAGGGGTCCTAGAATGGTACGCGCTTTTGTTTACAGGAGATATCCGTAAATCAGATAGCACCGTAGACTTATCTATCCGCTGCTCATGAAGATCAGACAACGGATGGCGAATGATCTGTACGCACACATTAAAACCTTGTCGGCGCAAAAACAAAAAGAAATTAAAAGAAAAAAAGATCTTATGTGCAGTTAATATTGCCAGATGCTAATAGTGCCTTGAAATTGGTCTCATTTTTTTAGATATCTTTTATTTAGGATATTTTTTAGAAAATCTTACTATACAAAGGACTACATAGATTTAAAAAATCGCGTTAATTTGGGTAAATGATAATTCTACGAAAGACTAGAAATATATTCGTTAAGCCGAAGTTTTTGGGAACGGCTAGGATTTTCAGTTATTTCGACTTCCTCTATTACAACAAAGTCGCGTCATGGATTCAAGTTCGCTTAATAATAATATTGTGGCCTAGTGTCGTAGTAAATTATACTTTATGCTATAATTGCTTTTAAGCGCTTTTTTACATTGAAAAAACAACAACGTTAAGATATCGGTACTTTTTCGGACGACGTTTTTATGAGGACTAGAACGTGCGTTTCGAGTGCATGTTAGTAGATATGCTGTTGGTGGCATAGCGTATACTTTGGCTTAATCTCCAATTTACGTTATACCATAGACATCACTGTACAAACAGATCGAATATGAATGTTAGCTATAAATTAAATAGCCTATTAACAGAACCTTCTCTAATAATAAGACCATCATTTGTATCCTTCCTATCATCGTATCAAAAGCTGTTTTTCTGATTCGAAAATTATATCTGATTGCAGACAAAGGAACGGCATCTGTTTACAATATAGAACAAATATGAAAGCTTCAGTGCGCAGCAAATAAAGTTAAGATTGCCAGCTAGCGTCCTCTCTGCTTATCCTATCCGTCGGACCCGCTGCTTTTGTGCTTTTGTGTTGTACTGTTGATTCACAGAACAGTCTAATTCCAACGAATCCTTTGCGTGTATATATATTGTTGTTCTGTGTGTTTTTGTCTCTATACTTATATACTAAGCGGTATCAAATACAGGAACTGCGATAATGTGTCATAGTTAAATTATCATTGTTACCATCGATCCTGTTCGGCATCGTTCTTGACCTACTGATA